TGACTTATAATCATTTAAAATTTACCTTGGTAGTTAATAAATTTGTTTGTTTTTTCTACCTGAAGCAGTGCGTTTGGTTTAAAGCAGGGGTCTCAAACACTCAGCCCCGGTGCACGCCCCTGCCACCCCAGAACCGCTCAAAGTAAGCAACGCCAGGCTGGAACCCAAACCCCTCCTGCACCCCACACCCCAACTCCCTGCCCTGAGCCCCCTGCCTGCACCCCAACCCCTGCCACACCCCGCACTCCCTCCTGCTCCCCAACCCCCTGCTCTGAGCCCCCTGCTGCACCCTGCAGGCAGGGGTGGGGTGGAGTGTGGGGCGGGGGGAGGAGGTGATGCGGCCCTCGGGCCAAAGTACGAGTCCTCATGTGGCCCTCCTGGTGATTCAAGTTTGAGACCCCCGGTTTAAAGCGTGTCAGAGACTCCCTTTGGGATAACAAGCCTGGTACATATCAATTTCTTTGTTAAATTGACAAACTCAGAAACTTTCAGCGTCCAGCGGGCATAACTGGACACTGCAAGACGAAGGTTCCTAGGGTTGTGTCTGGGACTGGAGATATTGGCTAGTGTCATTCGGTTGCACGATCCAAGGAGCAGCTTACATGCCAGAGGCTGTGTGTGAACAGCCCAGGAGTGGGGGTTTTCACAGCAAAGCAGGGTAAGGCTGGCTCCCAGAGTCAATGATTGGAGTGACCTAGCAGATCACTGGTCCAGATAACACCAGAGGGGAACGTCACAGTGATCCAGGGGTCACTGTGCTCCGGGTAAGGCACACCATGGTGTGTTACCCAGGGGTCACCATGCCTTGCATAAGGTGCCCCATGGTAAGTTACACAGGAGTGACTGTGCCCCAGGTAAGGTGCCTGATGGTACGTAACCCAGGGCTCACCAAGACCTGGGAAAGGCACCCTATGGTACATTACTCAGGGGACACCATGCCCCGGTAAGGCGCCCCATGGTACCTTACCCAGGGGTGACAGTGCCCTGAGTAAGGTGCACATGATTCCTTACCCACGGGGCACTATGCCCCAGATAAGGTGCCGCATGGTACGTTACCCATGTGTCGCTGTGCCACGGAACTGCAGGCCAGTCAGCCTCACTTCAGTCCCTGGAAAAATCATGGAGCAGGTCCTCAAGGAATCAATTCTGAAGCACTTAGAGGAGAGGAAAGTGATCAGGAACAGTCAGCCTGGATTCACCAAGGGCAAGTCATGCCTGACTAACCTAATTGCCTTCTATAATGAGATAACTGACTCTGTGGATGAGGAGAAAGCAGTGGATGTGTTATTCCTTGATTTTAGCAAAGCTTTTGATACGGTCTCCCACAGCATTCTTGCCAGCAAGTTAAAGAAGTATGGGCTGGATGAATGGACTCTAAGGTGGATAGAAAGCTGGCTAGATTGTAAGGCTCAACAGATAGTGATCAATGGCTCCATGTCTAGTTGGCAGCTGATATCAAGTGGAGTGCCCCAAGGGTCAGTCCTGGGGCCGGTTTTGTTCAATATCTTCATTAATGATCTGGAAAATGGCATGGACTGCACCCTCAGCAAGTTTGCAGATGACACTAAACTGGGAGGAGAGGTAGATATGCTGGAGGGTAGGAATAGGATACAGAGGGCCCTAGACAAATTAGAGGATTGGGCCAAAAGAAATCTGATGAGGTTCAACAAGAACAAGTGCAGAGTCCTGCACTTAGGATGGAAGAATCCCATGCATTGCTACAGACTAGGGACCGAATGGCTAGGCAGCAGTTCTGCAGAAAAGGACCTAGGGGTTACAGTGGACGAGAAGTTGGATATGAGTCAGCAGTGTGCCCTTGTTGCCAAGAAGGCCAATGGCATTTTGGGATGTATAGGTAGGGGCATTGCCAGCAGATCGAGGGACTTGATCGGGGGATCCCTCTATTCGACATCGGTGAGGCCTCATCTGGAGTACTGTGTCCAGTTTTGGGCCCCACACTACAAGAAGGATGTGGAAACATTGGAAAACGTCCAGCAGAGGGCAACAAAAATTATTAGGGGACTGGAACACATGACTTATGAGGAGAGGCTGAGGGAACTGGGATTGTTTAGTCTGCAGAAGAGAAGAATGAGGGGGGGATTTGATAGCTGCTTTCAACTACCTGAGAGGGGGTTCTAAAGAGGATGGATCTAGGCAGTTCTCAGTGGTACCAGATGACAGAACGAGGACTAATGGTCTCAAGTTGCAGTGGGGGAGGTTTAGGTTGGATATTAGGAAAAACTTTTTCACTAGGAGGGTGGTGAAGCACTGGAATGGGTTACCTAGGGAGGTGGTGGAATCTCCTTCCTTAGAGGTTTTTAAGGTCAGGCTTGACAAAGCCCTGGCTGGGATGATTTAGTTGGGGATTGGTCCTGCTTTGAGCAGGGGGTTGGACTAGATGACCTCCTGAGGTTCCTTCCAACCCTGATATTCTATCATTCTAAAGGGCCCCATTGTATCTTACCGAGGAATCACCGTGCTCTGGCTAAGGCCCCATGGTACATTACCCAGGGGTCTCGGTGCTCCAGGGAACATTACTCAGGGGTTGCCAAACTCTGCGTAAGAGTACGTTACCCAAGGGTCATCATGCCCTGGATAAGGCGCCCTCATGATACCTTACCCAAGGGTTGCTGTGTCCTGGGTAAGGCGCTGCATGGTACCTAAATTACGGGGCACCTTGCCCCGCATAAGACACCCCATGGTATGTTACCCACAGGTCAGTGTGCCCTGGGCAAGGCATCCCATGTTACATTACCCAGGGGTTGCCATGCCCTCGGTAAGAAGCCCCATGGTACCTTACTGAGGAGTCACCGTGCCCTGTCTACAGCACCCTATGGTACATTACCCAGGGTTCACCATGCTGCGGGTAAGGCACTCCATGTGCGTTACCCAGGGCTTGCCGAATTCTGTGTAAGGCACCCCATGGTACGTTATCCAGAGGTCACTGTGTCCCGGGTATGGCACCACATGGTACCTGAACTATGGGTCACTGTGCCCTGGGTAAGGCACCCCATGGTATGTTACCCAGGGGTCGGTGTGCTCTGGGTAAGACGTCCCAAGTTATGTTACCCATGGGTCACCGTGCGTGGGTAAGTCATCCCATCGTATGTTAACCAGGGGTTACCATTGTGATGTTGCACTCCATATGTTCTATGGAAATATGTTAATGAGTATGAATATAATGTCACTGGAATATGCTTTAGGCAAAAGGTCTCTTGTACGGTATCATTACAAAGCTTATAATCTACTGAGTGTGTTCATTCTATTTGTATGAATGAATCATTCTTGTATCTGAAACTAGGAATACGAAATATAACTCTGAGGTCCTATTGTAATTATGCAAAGTGTGGTTTGGAATCTGGATGGCTCCCATTGACTAGGACAGTTGCCTGTAAAATGGCTCTGTTTAGTTGCACACCTTCCTGGGCCAGTCCTGGAAGAATGGAGGCTGGAGTCTCACAGGACACGTGCCCATGTCACCTGATACTGGAATCTATCTTAAATCTGGTGCTTTTCCATTTAGAAGGAGCAGTGGGGACCCAGAGAGACAAAAGATTCCCACCTTGTGCCAAAGCTATAAAAGGGGGTGGAACAGAAGAAAGGGGGCTGCCAGTCATGAGAGATCCCCTAGTTACCACCTGAACTGGAACTAACAAGGACTGTACCAGGGAAAAGGATTGGGCCCAGACTAGGAAGGAGTCTCGTCTGTGAAAGAAACTTATTGGAACATCTCTGACGGTGAGATTTTACCTGTAAACAGTTTCTTAATGTAATAGGCTTAGACTTGTGTGTTTTGTTTTATTTTGCTTGGTAACTTACTATGTTCCACTGCATGCTTCCGATGAAGTGAACTGTAGCTCATGAAAGCTTATGCTCAGATAAATTTGTTAGTCTCTCAAGTGCCACAAATACTCCTTTTCTTTTTACTATGTTCTGTCTGTTATTACTTGAAACCACTTAAATCCTGCTATTTATACTTAATAAAATCACTTTTGTTTATTAATGAACCCCAGAGTAAGTGATTAATACCTGGGGGAGCAAACAGCTATGCATATCTCTCTATCAATGTTATAGATGGCAGACAATTTATGAGTTTACCCTGTATAAGCTTTATACAGAGTAGAACAGATTTATTTGGGGTTTGGATCCCATTGGAAGCTGGGTGTCTGGGTGCTGGAGATAGTTGACCTGCTGAGCAGTTTTTGGTTAAAGTCTGCAGCTTTGGGGGCGTGGACCAAACCTGGGTGTGTGTTGCAGCAGGCTAGTGTGTCTGGATCAACAAGGAAGGGTTATGGAGTCCCAAGCTGGCAGGGAAAACAGGCTCAGAAGTAAATTCAGCATGTCAGGTGACAGTCCCAAGGGAGTCTCTGTGACCAAACCTGTTACAACAGTGTCTGGGGTAAGGCACACCACGGGGTGACCATGTCCCAAGTAAGGTGCCCCATGGTTCGTTACCCAGGGGTCGCCATGCCCTGGGTAAGGCCCCCTATGGTATGTTACCCTGGGTTCACCGTGCTGTGGTAGGGTGCCCCATGGCACGTTACGCAGTGGTCGCCATGCCCCGGTAAGGTGCCCCATCGTATGTGACCCAGGAGTCACCATGCCCAGCATAAAGCACCCCATGGTACCTTACCAAGGAGTCACCATGCCCTGGCTAAGGCCCCATGGTACGTTACCCAGGCGTCATGGTGTCTTGGGTAAGGTGCCCCATGGTTCGTTACCCAGGGGTCGCCATGCCCTGGTAAGGCGCTTCATGGTACATTATCCAGGGGTCACCGTGCCCTGGGAAAGGTGCCCCATGGTACCTTACCCAGGCATTGCTGTGCCTGGGTAAGGTCCCCCCACGTTACCCAGTGGTTGCTGTGCCCTGGGTAAGGTGCCCCTGGTACATTACCCTCAATGTTACCTGTTTGTCTCATTTCTACTGCGAATATGTCTAGTTGCAGCTTGCAGCCAAGTAGGGCTCCTCTCTCTCTAAGGCTGGAGGCTGCAGCACTCACCTTCTCCTGTTTCAGCTGTGCCAGGTCTTCCTCATGGGCCTTCTTCTGGTTCTTCAGAGACAGCTGAGTTTCTTGTTCCATCTGCACAAGCTGCTGCTTCAGTGACTCTATATCCTGCCTCCGGGTGGTGTCCTGCAGCTCCAGCTCCTGCTGGGCCTTCTCCACCTCCACTGTGGACCAAAGAAACCCTTGTGAGGCTTCCAAGGGTCCTGCTTGCGTAAAGCCCACTCAGGGGTGCAATGCGGGCATTACTCTCTGCTGCAGGCTATGGGGCCCGGGGCTCTGTGATACCACAAGGCAAGGGACATGGGCACGGCTCCGCTTAGGCCGGGGGTACTGAGCTCAGGAGCTGAAGCCATAGACAGAAGGCAAGTGGGGATTGGCGGTAGCACATGCACTTTACCTTGAAGCACCTGGTTTGTCTGGTCAAGGCTCTGATTCTCCCCTTCCAGCTGTTCCTTCTGGACTTCCAGCTGTGCTGCTAGCTCCTGAATCTCAAAAAGGCTGATCTCCAGTGAGTTCTTCTCAGCTCTGCGGCACAGCAGCAAAAAATCAGGGCCAGTGACGTAGGCTATCACTTCCCCGATCTCCAGTGAAAATTAGTTGGAGCTTTGATTGTGGGCCCCGAAGCCTTTATGGCTCAGCTATGAGCCATTTAGCGCTGTCCCAGCTACACTCTGAATGCCATGTGTGCCCTGTATGAACATCTGCTGCACACAGGCTTCCTTGGGGCTTCTCTCCTGTTCTCCATTCACCAGGTGTGTTCCCAGCAGGAGGCCCGGTGGAGCTGCCCCTGGCCATTCAGTATGCGAGCAATTCCATGTGACTGTGGCTGAGACTGGCTGTCACACATGTGATTGCTGTGTCAGGGTGTCTGGCCCGGAGAAGGGCACGGGGGGTGGGGTGTGGGGGGGGCAGAACTCCACTTCCTCCCGTGCAGGTGAGGCTTCATTTCCACCAGTGTGTGGCAGAGGAGAACCAGGGCTGTGAAGCATTAACAATCCTTTCATTCAAACCACCTAAGGAGCTGGAGTGAGGCCTCTGCATGGTGAATGACTGCCCAGGCCACCCTGCATGGCATCCCCGCCAGCCCAAAGGAGTGTGGGCATCATGTCTCCCCACCTGAGCCCAGGTTGGTAGTGGCTTACAACAGCCACCCTCCCAGCTGTCCACTGGCTGTGTGAGCTAAGCTGGAAACTCCCTACCCTGCTCTGCAGTGTTGCTGGGTACCAGTTGCCCCCTGTGCCTGTCAGAAGGAGGGAGAAGAGTGGATGCAGCAGCAGGGAGGGGGAGCATGTTGGGCAAGAGCAGGGCTCCTGGCATTCCTTGCCTTCCCCTGTCGGGAATGACTCCTTCTGATCATCTCCATTACTGATCTGGGCTGTTCTCAGCCTCATGCCAGCAGGTAGCCCCAGGAGCAGCAGAGCAAGGAGCTCCTGGCACAGAGAAGAGACCTTGTCTCCCCTGTCATGGCACCCCTTCGCAGCCCTCCCCCCAGAAATAAGAGACCAGCCAGCCTCCAGGTGATACCAGGCTCTACCAGTCTCCCAGGATCTGAAGAGCAAGGAGGGGGTACCTGAGCATGTCCGTCTCTTCCAGCAGGCCCTTCCTCTGTCTCTCCAGTGCATTGAACTCCACAGCCAGCCGCGCCTTCTCCTTAGCAAGCTCCTCCTTCTCCTGGGTAGTGCGGAGCAGGGCATCGGCCTGAATCTCCAGCTCCTGGTGGCTGTGCGCCAGCTGCTCACTCAGAGTGTGCTTCTGGCTGCTCACCTTGGGAGAGTGAGGAAGCAGAGCAAGAGAGCAAAGGGTGTGACTGGGCCCTCCATGCTCTCAGAGTCCCTTTTGCTAGCTACCCCTACTGCAGGCAGCAGAGAGGGAGAAGAGCGACACCCATGGGAGGGCTACTCCCCCTCTGCCCCTCTCCACCTCACCAGCCAGGCACACCTTCTGCACCAGGGATACAGGTGGGATAGGTCATTTCCCCCACACAGCAACTTGCAGGGATTTGCTTTCTGCGCCCCCATCTTGTTCCCAGTCTGCTCCTGTGGCTCCCAGTTGCTCCAGGCACCGGCTGGCTGACAGCAAAGCCACCACGAGCAAGGAATGGAGAAAAGCAGGCATGGGGGGAAGCCTGGCTCTTGCACAACAGTGTGCAGGGAGGGAGCGTTATCTGGGGCAGGTCCCCACCTGGTCCTGCTCTCACCTGCATCAGGTGATCCCACAGCTGAGCTTTTTCCCTGAGCAGCAACCTCATCTCTTCCCCCAGTGCCTCTCGCCTCTCCTCTGCCATCTGGCAGCTCTTCTCCAGCTCCCGCTTGGTCGTGCTTGTCCATGCCACCTCTTGCTCCAGGTGCACCAATTGCTCTCGCAAGCCAGCTCGCTCCTGCTCCAGTTCCTGCCTCTGCTCCAGCAGCGAGCTCTTCTCCTCCTCCAGCTTTATCACACCCAAAAGCCAAAGAGAGGGCAGTGGGATAAGGGGCCAGCCCCGGAAGGAAAGTACCCTACAGACTCATCAAGAGTGAAGGGCAGGGCAGTCTAGAGTCAGAGCTAGCCCGCTCGCAGGTGACATCAGAACAGCACAGCTGCCTGCTGTTAGAAGCTCAGCTGCAGAGAGGACAGTTGCTGTTGCCATGGGGGATCCGTTCTCAGCCTGGAGATGTTCCCTGGATGGGGAATATATCCCCAACCCTAACTCAGACCCGGTGGGGCCTGGGCACTGCAATTCCTTCATGCCCATAGAACTTGGAGGCTCTGACAGTCACACTAATGAGATGTGACTTCACGTTGGCTCCTGAGAGCTAAGTGCCATAGGCTGAGCTGCCAAGGCGCAGAAGCGTGGCGAAGCCTCCTGCATGGTGCATAAGCAGGTTCCAGGCTCATGCGGGGAGCTGGGCAGTGCTTGAAGTGCCTTGGAAGTTCTACTCGCTGTTGGCACAAGCGGTCAAGCATGTAATGGCCACGCTCCCCCCCATGTCGGGCCTTGCTGAAGTTACACGCCCGTGGTGATTACAAGCCCCGCTGGGACAGTGCTCATGAGGCTGAAACATTTCTGGCACAGCCCAGGGTTAGAGAGATTCGAAGTGAACGTCCCATTGTTCAGAACTGAGGGGGAACAACTAAAGAGAGCGCTCTCCGGCTGCCTGCACTCCCCACACCAGCAAGTGGGAGAGGGCAAACTTCATCCATCAGCCGGGTGCTCTGGGGCAGGGCTTCTCCAGGAGATGCTGACAGAAGGTATGTAGGTGCTTAACTCCCACTGAATCAATGGGAGCTAGGCGCCAGTGTCTCTTTGTGGATCCTGTCCTTCCTCTCTTTGGGCTTCCGCTTTCCGGCTGTAAAGGGGACAATGACATTTCCTTTCTCCCACCCTCGTTTCTTTACCTGGTAAGCTCTTTGGCGGGTCCTGTTCTTGGCTGTGGCCTCTAGGTGCTACAGGAATGCCCCCCAATGGTAGGAATGGGTGACAGAGAGCAGTCCTGCATGGCTTAGTGTGCTGGGGGGTGGGGAGAGGGGGGCTCTGCCTTTACCCTGCAGCCTGCTGTCCCACTGAGGAAGTTCCCAGCCACTACAACAACAGGGATGCTTTTCACTTGGCAGAGTAATACATTTCTATTTCCCCCCTTCTCTCTGGATCCGCCTGGCAGCCCCGGAGGGAAGGGGCTGGATCTGGCAGGCCCTGGCATAGGAATCTGCAGCCAGGAGTGGGAGCTGAGTGGCTAGAAGAGTGCTGGGCACTTCTGGTACAGCCGGCAGTCCCTGCCCCAGGGCTGGAGGTGGCAAAGTCCTGAGAGGAGGCTCCTAGAGCACCAGCATGGGGGGTAAGGGGAGGCCAGTGAGAGAGGAGCTGAATGAGAGCAGGGAGAGGAGATGATCCCACATTGTGGGGGGGATGGGGGCATGCAGGGGCCATGGAGAAGGGAGGGGCACAGCCCACTCAAAGGGACCTGACCCTGCCCACCCAGACATATGCACCTTGTAGCCAAACTCGGGAACTGCCCCTTTCAAAGGAGCAAGAGGCACTTTCCTGGGCTGGGCTGTGGTGATGCCCTGCAGCTGGCACATCTTGGCTGGGTACGTGATGGTGCTCTGGCATGGAATAACAGAACCAGCTCCTGTGGGCAAGTGCTGAGTGACAGAATGCAGGTCATGGGCGGTGGGTGGGCATGTGAAGGACACAGGGGTAAAGCGCAGAGCGTAGGCTGGGGTGTTTGTGACAGGCACAGGGGCAGAGCACAGGGCAGGGGAGTGTGATGGGCACAGGGGCACAGCGCAGGGCGGAGGTGTGTGAGGGGCACATGAGCAGAGCGTAGGGTGTAGGCTGGGGAGTTTGTAATGGGCACAGGGGCAGCACACAGGGGGGATGAGAGGAAAGTGATCAGGAACAGCCAGCATGGATTCACCAAGGGAAGGTCATGCCTGACTAATCTAATCACCTTTTATGATGAGATTACTGGTTCTGTGGATGAAGGGAAAGCAGTGGATGTATTGTTTCTTGACTTTAGCAAAGCTTTTGACACGGTCTCCCACAGTATTCTTGTCAGCAAGTTAAGGAAGTATGGGCTGGATGAATGCACTATAAGGTGGGTAGAAAGCTGGCTAGATTGTCGGGCTCAACGGGTAGTGATCAATGGCTCCATGTCTAGTTGGCAGCCGGTGTCAAGTGGAGTGCCCCAGGGGTCGGTCCTGGGGCCGGTTTTGTTCAATATCTTCATAAATGATCTGGAGGATGGTGTGGATTGCACTCTCAGCAAATTTGCGGATGATACTAAACGGGGAGGAGTGGTAGATATGCTGGAGGGGAGGGATAGGATACAGAAGGACCTAGACAAATTGGAGGATTGGGCCAAAAGAAATCTGATGAGGTTCAATAAGGATAAGTGCAGGGTCCTGCACTTAGGACGGAAGAATCCAATGCACCGCTACAGACTAGGGGCCGAATGGCTAGGCAGCAGTTCTGCGGAAAAGGACCTAGGGGTGACAGTGGATGAGAAGCTGGATATGAGTCAGCAGTGTGCCCTTGTTGCCAAGAAGGCCAATGGCATTTTGGGATGTATAAGTAGGGGCATAGCCAGCAGATCGAGGGACGTGATCGTCCCCCTCTATTCGACATTGGTGAGGCCTCATCTGGAGTACTGTGTCCAGTTTTGGGCCCCACACTACAAGAAGGATGTGGATAAATTCGAGAGAGAGTCCAGCGAAGGGCATGTGTCATGAGCACAGGGGCAGCACAGAGGACTTAGGTGGGTGTTTATGATGGGCACAGGGGGTGCATGGGCGGGGCTGTGTGATGGACACAGGGGTAGCACAGAGGGTGTAGGCTGGGGTGTTTGTGAGGGGCACAGGGGCAGAGCACAGGGCAGGGGTGGGTGAGGGCACAGGGAGAGAACACAGGGCGGGTGGGGGTGAGGGGCACAGTGCAGAGCGGCGGTAGGTGAGGGGCACAGGGGCAGGGCGGGGTTGTGTGATGGGCACAGGGGCAGCACAGAGAACATAAGAATGGCCATACTGGGTCAGTCCAAAGGTCCATCCAGCCCAGTATCTTGTCTACCGACAGTGGCCAATGCCAATGCAAGTGATCTCTCTCCTGACATCCATCTCCACCCTCTGACAAACGGACCATTCCTAGGGACACCATTCCTTACCCATCCTGGCTAATAGCCATTAATGGACTTAACCTCCATGAATTTATCTAGTTTTCTTTTAAACCCTGTTATAGTCCTAGCCTTCACAACCTCCTCAGGCAAGGAGTTCCACAGGTTGACTGTGCTCTGGGTGAAGAAGAACTTCCTTTTATTTGTTTTAAACCTGATACCCATTAATTTTATTTGGTGGCCCCTAGTTCTTATATTGTGGGAACAAGTAAATATCTTTTCCTTATTCACTTTCTCCATACCACTCATGATTTTATATACCTCTACCATATCCCCCCTTAGTCTCCTCTTTTCCAAGCTGAAAAGTCCTAGCCTCTTTAATCTCTCCTCACATGGGACCCGTTCCAAACCTCTAATCATTTTAGTTGCCCTTTTCTGAACCTTTTCTAATGCCAGTATATCTTTTTTGATACGAGGGGACCACATCTGTACACAGTTGTCATAAATATAAAGGGAAGGGTAAACCCGTTTAAAATCCCTCCTGGCCAGAGGAAAAATCCTCTCACCTGTAAAGGGTTAAGAAGCTAGGATAACCTCGCTGACACCTGACCAAAATGACCAATGAGGAGACAAGATACTTTCAAAAACTGGGGGGAAGGAAAAACAAAGGGTCTGTCTTTGTTATGCTTTTGCCAGGGACAGAACAGGAATGGAGTCTTAGAATTTAGTAAGTAATTTAGCTAGATATGCATTAGATTATGATTTCTTTAAATGGCTGAGAAATTGAGCTGTGCTGAAAAGAATGGATATTCCTGTCTTTGTGTCTTTTTGTAACTGAAGGTTTTGCCTAGAGGGATTCTCTATGTTTTTAATTGAATTATCCTGTAAGGTATTTACCATCCTGATTTTACAAAGGTGATTCTTTTTACTTCTATTAAAATTCTTCTTTTCAAGAACTGAATGCTTTTTTTCATTGTTCTTAAGATCCAAGGGTTTGGGTCTGTGGTCACCTATGCAAATTGGTGAGGATTTTTACCAAACCTTCCCCAGGAAATGAGGTGCAAGGGTTGGGAGGATTTTGGGGGGAAATACGTTTCCAAACAACGCTTTCCTAATAAAAATAAACCCAGATAAACGTTTGGTGGTGGCAGTGGAAGTCCAAGGGCAAAGGGTAAAATAATTTGTACCTTGGGGAAGTTTTAACCTAAGCTGGTAAAAGTAAGCTTAGGAGGTTTTCATGCAGGTCCCCACATCTGTACCCTAGAGTTCAGAGTGGGGAAGGAACCTTGACAACAGTATTCAAGATGTGGACTTACCATGGATTTATATAAGGGCAATAAGATAGTCTCTGTCTTATTCACTATCCCTTTTTCAATGATTCCTAACATCCTGTTTGCTTTTTTGACTGCCGCTGCACACTGCGTAGATGTCTTCAGAGAACTATCCACGATGACTCCAAGATCTTTCTCCTGATTAGTTGTAGCTAAATTAGCCTCCATCAAATTGTATGTATAGTTGGGGTTATTTTTTCCAATGTGCATTACTTTACATTTATTTCATTTGCCATTTTGTTGTCCAATCACTTAGTTTTGTGAGATCTTTTTGAAGTCCTTCACAGTCTGCTTTGGTCTTAACAATCTTGAGCAGTTTCGTATCGTCTGCAAACTTTGCCACCTCACTGTTTACCCCTTTCTCCAGATCATTTATGAATAAGTTGAATAGGATTGGTCCTAGGACTGATCCCTAGTTACCCCTCTCCATTCAGAAAATTTACCATTTATTCCTACCCTTTGTTCCCTGTCTTTTAACCAGTTCTCAATCCATGAAAGGATCTACCCTCTTA